TTTTAAAATTTTTGGGACTATAGATTGCAATTAACTCTTAAGCTTTTTATTTAACTAGGAGAGTATATTCGTCATTCCATAGGTTTTTATTGAGAAATTGGATGAAAATGAATAGAAATGATGGTTTGCGCAATCAAATGTGTAATAAAAAGTGAAAATGAAAAAAAAAATGAAATGTATGGACTTTTCGCAATAACGATGAAAGATAAGGACATTATGTACTAATTGTCCTTTTAATAATTTATTTGTGACTTATTTGCTATTTTAAAAAAATTTGGGACTGTGGTTGCAATTAGTTTTTTTCTTTTTGTTTTATTTAAAAAGAGGGGTATATTCGTCATTTCATAATTTTTAACTGAGAAAATAAGTGAAAAGTACATTTTGCGCAATGAAAGGTGGAAATAAGGGTGAAAATGTCAAAAAATGAAACGTATGGACATTTTTCACAATAACAATGAAAGGTGGAAACATTATGTGCTAATTAACCTTATTAAAACTACGTTTAAATTGATTGATCACCGACATATAAAAAATCATGTTAAATAAAATATGAAGAGAAATCAATAAATATTTTTTGAGAAAACCAAAATGAAGAGTTAAAATAGAGAGCATTGTTGGTGCATAAAATTTTTTGTCTCTAAATTTATAGATACTCTCTACAATGCATAAGATACTTTTTATAAATAAAGGGTCCCTTGACAATAGGAATGTCCACGATCCGGCCGGCTCAAGAGTCGAAACTCAAGGCTCAAGTTCGGCTCAAGTAAAAATGATTCAGGCTTTTTCTCGACCAAAAAATTTAGGGTTGACCCGCTGAGCCAGCTCACTATTCCATTTTTTTATAATAACAGGCAACATGTACTACTGCCTGCTAAACACAAACAAGTATTGCCTGCAAGTTGCCTGGCTGCCTGTGCAAAAGTGGGCAGCTAGCTTTTTAATTTTTTTTGAAGTCCAGCTAATCACGAATCGAAAATGGCCCATGACACGAGTCGGTACGTGTGCCACACGGGATGGTTCTAGCTCAAGCTTACGTCCCAAAATTGGGCTCGATCCTCGGCTCGATTCTATCAAGTCCGAGCCAGCTTGGCTCGAGCTTTTGTCTAATCGAGCCACGGGTCGCTCGAGCTAACGAGTCAAATTGACATCCCTACTTGAACATGCTTTGATGTACTACACTACACTCTTTGTTAGTAATTCTACTACTGATCCTAGCCTATTGCTCTGCTAGCAAATTGGTCTTAAGTTAATCCTTAAGTTTCTTTATAGTTGCACTATCAATCTACAAATTTAGATTATGTCCTGTTTGCTGCAAATTTTAAAATAATTAAGACATGGAAAATTTTGTTTTAATTTTTCATTTTCTTAGACATTGAAAAAAAAATTGAAGATGAATGCTTTTGATTGTACAGGGATTTACCCAAGTGAGATTGGAATCCGTTATTAGGCAGGATAAAATCAAATTAAACGTCGGAATCCGTAGAATCAATGCAACCTTAAATACTAGAAACTTATAAAGAAGGTTAATGTGAAGAGTTATAAATATTTTCAGTACATTAAAAAAACATTTTTATTAAATATTCGGGCAATTGACATCGAAAATTTATATAGATTACAAAAGAGATAGGACTATTGATAAGAAAAGACACACGACGGATGTCAACTGCATACACGATAGATGTACTGAGTGTTGGTACCAAATTAAGGTTGCTTTAAATAAGCGTATGTTTGATGGCAATTTTTATCGACATTTTAATAAAATAATGGACCGTTAGCTTTCGTAATTGTTGAATTCATTCACACTACAACTCGACATGGGACCCACTGACGGTATAAAAATGAATTTTAACCCCTATTTGGTAGAGATTAAAATCAATTTTTTTTTATATAGATTTAATAAATGTTAATAAGATGTATGGTTGAAAAGTTGTGGGTCCTATGAAATGTGTAGTTAAAATTAATTATTGACTTTGATTTGAAATTTTAATTGATTTTTCATCCAAACCAAACGAGGCTTGCAAACACGGTGTCTAAAAATGATATAACGATTTATATGTATGACATATTTAGTATGTCAGCCATGCAATTTAGGATCATTCTTCTATCCTGTGCAAAGGAAAATTTTTGTCTAGTTCTACATTACGCACCCATCACTTTGATTAAATTAATTATGGGTTCCCATTTCAGTAGAGGATACAAATAATTGTCGCATAGAGGCCTTATATATCTTGGCTTTACAGATTAAGCCCTAATCTTGCTCAAAACCATAATGAACAAAAAATAGAATCAAGAAACAAGCTAAAACCCCACATAGTATATATACTCGTTCACATTCAACGTCAGAGTTACGCTCATTTTTGTCCGAATAGGTTCTCACTACTATGAAGCAAAGGAAAAAAAGGTGGTCTCATATTGGCCTCTTAAAATCCTCTACACAGTAGCACGAATATTAGGACACCTTAATACATGTATAGAATGCTTAATATACTCTTCGACCATAACATTTATTTTGGTTTAAAATTTCACTATAACACTTAAATATCAACGTTACAATATTAATATAGGCCACTACTATTTTCATCCACATTTTTTTATATATCTATCCCACTCTTAGTTCATTCCTATTAAAATTTTAAAATAAAAAAAATAGTATTTGCATCCACGTCATATTCTAATTTTGTCCTTATTAATTTTATTCATTTAAATACTATATATCCACGTGAATTTTATATATTCTTCCACTTTAAATTTTATATCTCTAACTCTATATATCCACATGAATGTTATATATTTATCCCACTTTAAATTGAAATCTATTTCCCAGATGATAAAATTTGAATTTTATATCTCTAACGAAATGAATTCAAAAATAAATAAGATAACAACTAAAACATCATGTAAGCATGCGAAATAGCATATGTATTGGAACTTTTCCAAATACTCGTGAAGAAACCCACTACAATTGAGAGCAAAAAAAAAAAAGGAAATTGTACAGATAAAAAGACATCAAAATCATTGAGTATGCCAAACACACCCAAGATTGGCAAACCCACAAGTTGCCCAAACTCGTATGTATATTTTTATCCAACTTGTATACTGCACCAAACATTAGTTGACGAGACCTATTGAGTTGACTCGTTGAGTGGACATGTAGGCTCGTCACCTTTAATGGCCACTATATGCCACAAACTCGAGGCATACTTTCAACTGTCAATCATCCAATTAGAAGATAATCGTAAAACAAAGAAAAGAAGATCAGAGCGTCCAAATTCAATCACGATATCACGAGAACACCACTAAATCCCATAAATATCTTAATGCGTTGAAAAAAAAAATCGAACAACAAAACACAATAATAAGGTAATCTTTACTTTTTCAAATTTCTCTTCATATATTGCTTTGTCTGTATATATATTTGCTCTAACATCGTCTCTTTCATTGTTTACTAAATTCTTTATCTATTGAAGTTTTGAGTATTAGAATGTTTCGAACATATTCATGTAATTTTCTTTGATCTATTAGGGTTCAAGTTAAATACAAATTCTAAAAGAATATAAAAGGATTTAAGATAGTTTAATGAAAATAAAAATTAGCGAATGAACTTAGAGTTATGTATTTTTATTTAATTTTATGTATGCCTATTTAAGTAAATTTACATATGATTTAAAATATAATAAAATTTTATTTTTAAAAGTGGATGTATATATATAAAAAGTGTGAATGGAAATAGTGGTACCCACAATAAATTTGTCTCGATACAAACTTAACTAATAAATTAATACAAATTCAACCATGAAATTTAACTTTACGATTTCGTTGTTTAAATAATAAAACTATTATCTTATCAAATCATTGTTTTTCTAAAGAATCTGTAGAAGCCGACTGTCAGTTAATCTTTTCAGATATAAATTGATCTAATAAATAATATATATTGGATACAACCAAGATTCAATTTGGTTTCCAGTGTATTATAACTATCTAAACCAAAATTACGTAAAATCAAATCAATGGTTTCAATGTGTGTGGACGTTTTTCTCTAGAGGGGAGTTTGTATCCTTTTTTAAAATATGAATATGAATATACAATTCAAATCTTCTTTAATCTTATGGATCTGTGGTGCAATGGTAGCGTTCGACTCTAGATCAGAAGGTTGTGTGTTCGATTCTCGTTGGGTTCAATTCCCTACTTTTTACTCTCCCTTTTTTGTCGTTTCGATAATCTTCTCTTCAATAACCTCCACCGTTTAATGGAGTCACATAATTATTTGCAAGAAAAGAAAAAGGAGAACTGCATGAATGTCCCCAAACTTTCACCCAATATACAATTTGGTCTCCATCCTTCCAAAAGGATTAGACAAGCCAAATATATGTTCATTTTGGCGCCTGAGCGTCACTTTTTTGCCCAAAATGCATTTTTGAATAATTACATGAATAAAAATCAAATTTAAAAATAAATTTTTAAAATTCTAAAATGATAAAAAAAAAATTTGAAGAGAGATTCAAACATTCTAAAAATGAAATCTAAAATCCATCCCTTTTAAAAGGAATGCCTATCAAAAATAAAATTTGAAATGCTTATCTAAAAATTAAAATCTAAAATCCATTCTTTTTAAAGGTTTCCTTGATTTTGGTTGATAATTTACATCTCTAGAAACATCTATGCTACACATGATTACATACTTACAAAATATAACCATATATAAATTGGTTACTACTTTCATCATTTTCCTATATTGGACAAACTTTAATTGGTTTCACTCAAATACATATAACCATCTTTCAATACAACAATTTTTATACTAACATCGAAATAAATTTCACAAAACATAAGCTGATATATTCTGTAACTAATTCTTATTGTCATGCGGACAACCTTAAAAGTTAAGGCATCAGTGCATCTAGGATTTGTGATATAGACACCCTTAAAAAATAAAAGCAAAGCAATTCTCACTCATATTTGGACGTCAATAAAATACCTAAAATGTTCATCAATTTCCATCTTTAGAAATGGCTTTCTTCCACTCTCGACTGCCGACCAGCCCAATTAGTTGTTAGGCGTCACCATAGAAAGAACAAGGTAAAATTTGATATTAGAAAAAAGGACAGAAAAAAAAAAGCACAGGAACCGCATGCTTCAATAATTTACTTAGATCAAGATGTCAAGATGTATGAATAGTCAAGAGTAATTTGATAGCATAAGCTTTGGTGTGTTATTAATTGAGATTCGATAGTATCAAGTTTGTTTAGTTACTTTCTTTTTCAATTAGGATATTGTGAAAAGTCACAACTTTTGGTGTCGTATTTTTTAGGCCTGCATTTCAAATTAACTTTCTAGCCCAAATAAATGTGAAAGTACAAGGATTTAGCCATACTTTACCTTAGCTATCGAAGGATCCCTAATCCCAGAAACGAATCTGCAATCATCGACACGGAGATTATGGGCTAAACATAAACCGATAAGAAATGAATTAGTTTGAATCTTTAATTATTCGTTTTTACTGTTATGATCTAATAATAGTCTTGCTCGATGGATTTTTACGTCATTCCTATGTCTAATAAGTTGTGCCCGGAAACATTTAGTTTCAGTGTTCAATTATTTAAAAAATATTTTATGGAATTCATTATTAGGAGAGAGAAAAAGAAAATTATTGTTAGAAATTAGTTAGGGCGTGGAACGTACCTGTGAACAACAGACTTAGAGATCACTGCAATATTCAACAAATGGTTGAAGGACATTGCCGGCATTGTGCTGGGGCCACTCCAATGATTCCCACCATTCTTTTTCTGTTCGTAGTATCCAGATTGTTCTAAGATGTGGGGGAGGAGATAGTTCTCCATGGAGAAACGGCAATTTCTTTATATTTTTAATTCCCCCCAAATTAATGTCCTTAATGTAATCACAAATCATCTTTCCTTTGCAGATGCTCTTTAGTTGTGGCAGATCATCTAGAGTCAATTCTTTTAACATTGGCAATGTGATATCAGCTCCTTCATTGTTGTCATCTTCTATTATCTCCTCCATTTGTATACAGTCATTTACAGTCAAGGATCGGAGGTTATGGAAATTGCGTACCAAACTCTGAGGGAAAAGCTTCTTGATTTTACCACAACCTTTAATACGCAACTCTTTGAGACAGGAAAATGTGCCAGGTGGAAGATGTACAACTGCTTCCCACTTGAAGAGACCAATTAAATTTGGCAAGTGGTCCAGTTGCAACTTTTCAAGGCTTTGGAATGGGACCCGACTAAATTCTTCCTCTAACCTCATAATGCACTCTATTTTATCCTCCTCACATATTTCGCATGCTCTAACAGAATTCGGAATTGGAAATTCATCTAATAAGCAACCCCTCAAGCCACTGCCTCCAAAGTATAAAAACTCAACATCTCGTGGCAGCATATTCTCATCCGTGTCCAGAGAGGATTCCATGAGACTCTCTCTGCTAAAACGTAAACGTTTACATGAGACAGGTAAATAGGAATAGAGTGGGTGGATTTCTGGACAATGTATTGTAATATCGTAGAAAAGGAATTGCTTGTCCCTTTGTCGTGAGTTGATTAACTGATTGAGATCACGTACGCTATTTAACCTGCAATGAAGTAGTTCCAACTGTTTCAATGCCTCAACTTCTTCTATTGGTACTTCTAAATGAAATGGCAACTCCAGTTGCTGAAGACGTGTGAGTCTATGCAAAGTTCCCGTCGGTATCATCTTTAATCTTCCACACAACAAAGATAGGCGTCTGAGGTTGGTTAAGCTTTCCATACCTTGGGGTATTTCTTCAATAATAGTACCTGCGAGGTCCAAATGTCTCAATACCTTCTCGAAAAGGTTACTACCGTGACTTACCAGATCAGGACAACCTCCGAGCAATAATGCATTAAGTTTCTCCAAGTCCGATATGGAATTTGGCAAGCACGGAATATAAGTACGACTTAAATCGAGAGTGCGTAACCCACACATATGCTTAAAGAAACAATCTGGAATCAACCGCAGCGGAAGATTTTCTCTCAAGATCAAGGTGGAAAGACTTGGACACTTGGGTGACGTGCCAGGTTATATTTCCGCTATGGAGTTGCGCATCAAGGAAACCTTATCCAAATCTTCTGTCCACTCTTGCTCCTCTGGTAATTCCTTTAAGTGAAGTCCAGCTTTTACCATGTACCTCGGTTTCTCTTTAGTGATCCGTATTGCCATCTCTCTGATTAAATCATGCATCTTCAGCCTCCCATATGGATCACTTTCCAATAAGCAGGCTCTCTCCAATTGATTTAGTATTGTACGACCTTGGTTGAGTTCAGCTTCCAAGCTTAATCTTCGCTCCATCAGCTCTTCTGAAATGAAATTTGTAATCAATTCGTCTCTTGAAATAGGAAAATCTTCAGGATACAAGGAGCAATACAAAAAACAATTTTGTAGCCTTGTATCTCTCAACCGATGATAACTATACAAGAGAATTGGCAAAACCTCATCTTCCATGTCAGCTCGTCCCAAACATGATTCTTTAAGTCCCTCCAATGCATCTCTCCATTCATGAGTGTCAATCACGCTTCTCATGCTTCCAGCCAATGTGATGAGTGCAAGTGGCAAACCACCACATTTTTTTACCATTTTCTTGCAAATCTCTTTTTCTTCCACAGATAGTTCATCACCATCAAGTGTCTTCAAGAACAGGTGCAAAGCTTCTTGCTCGGAAAGTGTGATCACTTTTATAATCTTTTTGCAGCACATATTACGACAAACTTCTTCCGATCGACTTGTTATGACCAACTTGCATCCATCCTTTTTAGAAGGAATGCCTATCTTCTCTGCATCAATTCGTTTCCAAACATCATCCAGTATAAGCACAAATTTCTCCTTTTTCTGGAATTCCTGGAAGAGTTTAGCTGTCCTTCTCCCCTCATCATTCTCAAGTGTTATACTTGGATTCAGTAATTGGGCAATATCACTTTGCAATTTGTAAATGCTGAACTCTTGAGAGACGGTAACCCAATAAACATGATCGGAGAATGTGGATTTTTTTAGCTTATCATGGACATGCCTTGCCAGAGTCGTCTTGCCCACTCCTCCCATTCCGTAAATGCCAATGCTTACGACGTTGGCATCCATTAATGATGTCCAAATGTCATGGAAATTTTGTTGAAATGCTTGGCCAGTCGGTTCGGGTATTAACAGTAACCGGTCAATACCCTCATCAACCTCAAGAAAAAGCCCGCTAGGAAATTCACTTTGGGCAACAAGCTCCGTCACTTCCTCAGTCATGCTTTCAAGCTGTTCAGCCAACTTTGGTCGTTTGAAAACATGATAAAATCTGCTGCTTTGTTGTACTCGTTGTTCCAAGGTTTCAAAATCTTTTATAATGTTTTCAACATTATTCCTCCAACCTTCAACCACTCTCTTGGGATTTTTTCCAGAATGACATAATTGATCAGAAACATCATCTTTTCGTTCTGTCAGTATTTTTATTTTTCTTTGAAGAGTCCTCGTTTTCCCTCCAAGTTTGTGCATAGCAGTGCAACAAGGTTTGGTAATAACGGTGCAACAAGTTCGAACAGCTTATCCATGTGGCTTCCTGCAAATATCATGCAATATTGTTTTATATATAAAGTAAATTGACAGAAGAATATTGTTTTATGCTACATGTACATAGAAGAATTGACAGAATTTTTACAAAACAAATTTCATCAGTTTTGGACCCAGATCGGTGAATTATTCTTTGTCCAAACTCAATCAAGAAAATTTCTAATCATTAATTTATTTCGAAGTATGTCGACTTTTACAGAAACTTAAATTAAGAGATAATTCACTATTAATTTACTATTTAAATTGAAAAACTGCTCTATTTTGCTGACAATACACTAGTCGAGTTTCCTCTGAAAATATAGCACGAGTTCTTTGTGTCACTTTTTACCAAGTTTAATTCAAAATTTTATCAAAATTAATGCAGAAGAAAATTACAAGATCCTTATTTATACTCTAACAAGTTGTTGTAATTTGATAACGAGAATGAAGGTGCGAGATTGATTCAAAAATAAGAATCATTTATTAATAATTACTTAATCAGAATAATAAATGAAAACATTTAACGATCATAAAAGGATAGAAAGAGATCAATATTAAACAATATATTTACCTTGAATCAAATAATCGTCAAAATCCAAAAACAATCAGAGCAAGCAGCTAAGATGAATGAATATCCTATAATAGCATGTGAAATTGTATAACTTTATTTTAGTACAGCATTGACTGACGATTACCGAGAACCTTCGTGGAAGGAGCTTGCACCAAAATTCAATTATTGAACCAAAGGGAGGGCCCCATCAAGTCAGGAAAGCACTAAGAATTATCAATGCTATTAGGGAAAATTGCGATCGCGGTTCCTAACTTTTTCAATTTTTACAAATTTTACCTCGACCTTCAATTTGTGTCAGCAATAGTCTCTAGACTTTCAAAAATATATATCCGGGTCCAAATGGATGGAATTCATTCACTTTTTCGTTAGTTGACTAAAAACATTAGGGAAAATTGCAGCAGCGGTCTCTAACATCTTCAATCTTTGTAGATTTTATCTTAACCTTCAATTTGTGTCAGCGGAAGTCCCTAACTTTTCATAAATATGCGGTTGTGGTCCAAATGGATGGAAACCGTCCATTTTCCGTTAGTTGACCAATATTTTGCAAAAAAAAAAATATATATTTTTTGATCATTTTAAGTAGGGACATTTTCATCAATTCTATGACAACATTATATTTTGCAATATAAATACAATTATATAATAAGAAATAATTAAATCAAAAAACAAAAATTCATGCACATCATCTTTTCGACGTTCTAGTAATCCTATTTTTCTTTGAAGGGGCTGTGTGTTTTCCTCCAAGATTGGGTATAGCAGTGCAACAAAGTCTGGGAATATCCCTGCATCAAATTCTAACAGCTTATCCATGTGGCTTCCTGCAAATATCATGCAATATCATTTTATATACACAATAAAAACAGCTATGGTACATGTACATACAAAAATTGACACAATTTTTACAGAACAAGTGCAATTTTTACAGAAAATGCACCATATAGATCTGTGAATTATTCTTTGTCCAAACTCAATCAAGAAAAATTCAAATCATTAATTTATTTCAAAGTATGTCAACTTTTACATAATTCACTATTTATATACTATTTAAATTTAAAAAGTGCTATATTTTGCTGACAATAAACTAGTCAAGTTTCCTATCAACCAACACAAATGGTGACATGTTATTATATTTAAATTTTATTTTATTTCTTTCTCTTACTTCTTTTTTTTTTTAAATCTCAATCATCCTCTAAAAATATAGCACGAGTCTTTTGGGTCACTTTTTACCCGTCTCTCACTTATTTGTTATCAATCATAATAATGAAAACTTTAGAACCAAAACTGAATGGAACTTTGCAACAATACATTAGACGTTAATTAAATTCACAATTTTATCAAAATTAATGCAGAAGAAAATTACAAAATCCTTATTTATCTCCTAACAAATAGTAGTAATTTGATAATGAGAAAAAGGGACATTGTACTGGCCGTTTTGAATATGGGACCAAATTTCCTCCAAAATTGAGCCTATCACTCAAATCGCATCGAGAACGAAAGTGCGAGATTGATTCAAAGTAATAATCATTTATTAATAATTACTTAATTGGAATAATAAATGAAAACATTTAACGATCATAAAATGATAGAAAGAGATCAATATTACATAATATATTTACCTTGAATCAAATAATCTTCAAAATCCGAAAACAATAAGGATCCGTTTAATTGCAATGGTGAAAAATGGGTGGAAAGAAAATGAATTTCAAGAAAAGTAATTGTTTGGAAAATGAATTACAGGAAATTGTTAATTAAGTGTGTTTGATTTGTATAATTTTTCACCAGGAAAATTTTTGAATTTTGTGTTCGTTTGGCCTTCGTTTGCATCAAAATTGTCCATTAAAGTGAAAAAAAAATTTCACACTTGGTTATAAAATTTGTTTCCATTGGCAAAAATTTTTTAAAAAAAATATCTCTTAAAAAATCATTTTTTATCAAAATTTAGTGTTCATTTGGCCTTCGTTTGCATTAAAATTGTCCATAAAAGTGAAAAAAAATTTTACACTTAATTATGAAATTTGTTTCCATTGCCAATCTAGGAATTCAGGTGCATGACTGTCTTGCCAAGAAAATGTTTGGCCTAGAAAATCTTGTCCATCTAACAACACATTTTGTGGGAAAGGGAAAAATTTTTTCCAACATCTAAGGAATGTTTGGTTATAAAGTTGGTTTCCATTGTCAAAAATTTAAAAAAAAAGAATATTTCTTAAAAAATCATTTTTTATCAAAATTTAGTGTTCATTTGACCTTCGTTTGCATCAAAATTGTCCATGAAAGTGAAAAAAAATTTTACACTTAATTATGAAATTTATTTCCATTGCCAATCTAGGAATTCAGGTGCATGACTGTCTTGCCAAGAAAATGTTTGGCCTAGAAAATCTTGTCCATCTAACAACACATTTTGTGGGAAAGGGAAAATTTTTTCCAACATCTAAGGAAAGTAGCCATCAAACATAGCCTAAGACCAAGGAGCTTGTTTAGCAACTTTCGAGGAAAGCATTAGATAAGAAACCAGAATTCAATTATTGAACAAAAGGGAGGGCCCCATCAAGTCAGGAAAGCACTGAGAATTATCGATGCAATTATGGAAAATTGCAGTAACGGTTCTTAACTTATTTAATTTTTGTAAATTTTACCATAACTTTCAATTTGTATCAGCAACGGTCCCTAAGATTTCAAAAATATGCATCTGAAATCTAAATGGATGGAATCCGTCCACTTTTCCATTAGTTGACTAAACAAATTAGAAAAAATTACTACAACGATCCTTAATCTTTTCAATTTTTGTACACTTTACCATAGCATTCAATTTGTGCTAGCGAATGTTCTTAATCTTTCATAAATATACAGTTAAAGTCTAAATGGATAGAAACGGTCCATTTGACCGTTAATTGACCAATATTCTGTAAAAAAAAAAAAAAGAGGAAGAAGAAGATATTTTGATCATTTTAAGTATAAATATTTTCGTCAATTCCATGACAACATTATATTTTGCAATATAAATACAATTATGCAATAAGGAATAATTAAATCAAAAAAATTCAAATCAAAAGGCTATTTTATTCACCCCACCCACCTGCCTACCTCCAAAATCGAACCCAGAAAACTCACCACCGCCGATCGACCACAGCTACCTATCTCACTACAAACCGTAAATTGCCGCCGCCACCACCGTCAAACCAAAACCATCACAATCAAACCATCAAACCCAACTTTTCCATTGCGAATAGGAAGAACCTAAAACACGACGGAAAGAAAAATCATCGAACATCAAAATTAGAAAACATTTTAAACCAGATTTTGGAAAGGATCATCGAACATCTACGGAAAACTAGAAAAAGATTTAATAAAAAATCACAGAAGATCAAAATCGACACAAGTCGGCGGCCACCTAATCCAGAAAAACCACTGCCCCAACTAATTCGCCGAAATTGCTTCCCTAGTCGATGGCCTCAATCCACAAATCGCCCCCTACGGTCACACCCGTGGTCGCGCCTAACTGTCGGTAGTCTCGCCAACTCTAGGCGAGCATTTTCATGGTGAAACAACATCAATGTGTCAGGAACGGCCCCTAACCTTTCAAAAATATGCATCTGGAGTACAAATTGATGGAATCCGTCCACATTTTCGTTAGTTGACTAAAATAAATAGGCAAAATTGCAATAGTGATCCCTGACCCAATTTTTATAGACTACATCCTAGCCTTCAATTTATGCCAACGAAGGTCCTTAACATTTCATAGATATACGACTAAGGTCCAAATGGATGGAAATTGTCCTTTCGACCGTTGGTTGACCAATATTTTGCAAAAAAATGATATTTTGATCATTTTTAAGCAGTGACATTTTCGTCAATTCTATGACAACATTGTATTTTGCAATATAAATACAATTATATAATAATGAATAATTAAATCAAAAAATAAAAAATTAAATCAAAAGGTTATCTTCTTCACTCACCTCACCTCATCCACTCCTACCCCACCCCCAAAACGGGACCCAGAAAACTCACCACTACCGGCCGATCAACCGGCCACAGCCACCTATCTCACCATAAACCGTAAATCGCCATCACCATAAACCTTAAGTTGCCACCACCACCATCAAACCAAAACCATCACCGTCAAACCCAATTTTTTCATTGTAAAGAGGAAGAACCAAACAAGCCTTGCAAATAGTGGAGCTAGACAAGGACTGTGAGGAAGGCTATATACACATGTAGACATGGTGTCTAAAGAAGATACAACGATTTATATGCATGAGATATTTAGTATGTTAGCCATGCAATTTCGGATCATTCTTCAAGACTCCTGTAGTGGCTTCTTAACACTGAAAAATAGTGAAAATGATGTTTTCCACACTGAAACGTTGAAATAGGG